TTGCCTGAAAATATAAATTATTTAAAATTATATTAAATAAATATTAAATAACAAACAGTATTTAAACTTACTGTTTTTAGCTGTATAGCATGTGCAACCATGTTATATATCAAATTCCATCATGTTTCAATATCTAAAATTGATTTTAAAGTTTCTATTTTCTATATTTTACAAGCATTATTTAATTTTTCCATTTGTTGGGATGATGATTGTATTTTTACTACAAGTTTTCGTAACTATATAAAAATAAATTAGTAAATATAAAAGAAAATATACCTATTGCGAAACTTATCTGTTATAAGTTTTCTTTCAGTATATTTAAAGCATCTTGTATATTTAAATTAATAACATGTGCAAAACATCGCAATTGATTTTTTGCTACACTAAAAGAAATTATTTGAGTTTTACTCCACTCTTCTATTAATTTAGCAAATGTTATATTGTTTGTAGCATTGTCAGTCATAATTTTTAATACCTTTAAAATTAAATAGTAATATTAGCTATATATAATATTTATTTTAAATATAATATATAAGATAAACTTACTTTAGTTTGTATTATAAATTTGTTTAAACATGATAAAAATACTTCTTTAATACTTTCACCTGAATGGATATCCCACAATTGTATAAAATCTATTGTTATATTTTGCATTATCCAATTTTTGTCAATAAAATATGCAGTTATAGTTAGAAATACTTTTATTGAAATCAATATTCAAATATCTAATGTAAAAGAAATTCGGCTTCTTGTTTCTTGTAATATTTTTTGAATTTTTTCTTGATTGTTTAAATAAAAATCCATTATACTTGTCTTAATAAAAGTAGCTGAAAATATTTTTGCATCTGGTACAAGTATTTATATAAATTCAAGGAAAGCTTATTTTTGAACAATCGTAAATGACTGCTGGTTTATAACAATCCAATGGACAAGTTTTTTTTTTATTTTTGCAGGATTATATATCCATTAGATATAAATAAAATTTAATAATATTCTTTACAATTTTGAAATATTTTAAAAATTACCTTTGTTTTAAAAAAATTTACTATATTAGAATTATCAGTTACTAGATTTAATTTTGTTGGATAGGTTTTTTCAAGATGTTTTATAAGATTAAAAGTACTATTTCCACTATATATATATACAGTTCTACAATATTTACAAGTAGCCTTTTTGTCATTTTTAAAATTTGAACTTTTTATAAAATGTTCCTATACTTTGCTCCTAGAAATTATTGAAGTAATTGAAGTAGTTTCTAATAAATTGCTTATATCAATATTGTTATTATCATTATTATTATGGCTTATTAAATTACTATTTTCTTTATACAAATATTGCATATTAACAGATAAGTTTTCATATTCCATTTTTAAAAAATATTTAAATTGTCAGAAAACAAGTTGTATTAATTTAAGCAGTTAAATATAAAGTTATAATATTAAAAAATTTTTTAAAATTTTTTTTGATATATAAAACTTACCAAAAATTTTAAAAAATAACTTTTTAAAATTATTAAAAAATTATCGAAAGAGTAGAGTGAACAAATATTAAAATTTTTTAATATAATTTTTTATACATTAGTAAAAAAAACAAGTTTTTTATTTTAATTTCCTAGTTAGTTCTATTTAAATAAAATTAAATAGCTATTTAACAATTTATATAAATTAAGCTATATCTAATTCAAATCCAATTTGTATCTGATCAGATTTAAAAATTTAAAATTCGATTCGATTCATATTTGATCAGATTAAAAATTTAAACATTTAATTTGATCTAATTTGTATCCAATTCATGAATTAGTCAGATTCAGATAAAAATTGTGATCCTTAATTAAAATATATCAAAGATCTTTAGAAATTAATATATAAATTTTCGTTTTAGAGTCTTTTAACAATGACAGAGATTCTTTAAAGATTTATACTTGAAAATTTTCAAAAATCTTTATTCAAAAAATTTTCTGATGATATAGCTGAATAGAAGTTATATTTACTTATTTAAAGTTTTTTGATTGGATATAAAGAAAATAAAAAATAAAGAAAAATAAACTAGAGTTATAATAACAAGCACTATTGAAACTAAAATTAAATTACTTAAACTATAAGATCTATATAAATAAAAAATATATTTAATAGCTTGACTTTTGTATCAGTATTAGTTTTAGAAATATAATCTTTATTAACTTTTTTTTTTACAAAATTTTTCTTAAATGAAATCTTTATTACTAAATTTTTATAAAAAAATTTTTTTTGATACAAAATTTATGAAAATAAGACACATTAAGATATATCATTATAAATATTAATCTGCTATTTTAAATAGATATATTTTACAAAACTCATTGAAAAAAATAGAAAAAACTATTTATCTATAGAGGAATAAATCTCTTCATTATAAAAAATATAAAAAAAATCAAATTTGTTAAAGGATAATAATTTTTTTTTACTAAGTATAACTAATAAATCATTAATAATAACAATTTCTATAAGCATTGGTATTAGCTTTATCCTTAGCCTGCTATTATCCTAAATAAGTTGCAAATTTAAATTACTTAATCTAGTCAAGCATTGTTTACTTTATAAATAGGGCAACACAGGATGCAACTCCATTATTATAGTATTTGTTATAATGTTATTGATATTATAATAAATGTTAAGTATAGGCAGTATAGTGATCAGATTTAAGGTTTTTGATTGGTTATAGTCTTTTGACTATGTAATGAATTAATTTCAAGTTTGTGTTTTGTTGTAAAATAAAGTTATATATATAATATTTCCTAATTTGAATTTGTTTTAGTGATACTATCAAAACCTATACAGGACATTGATTTCGTACTCTTTTAATTTGATAGGTTGTTGTGTTGTTTTGATTTTGTTGAAAATTGTATAAGTATTGATTGATATGTTAAATATAATAGATCTTTTGATAGAGATAAACTGAATGTGATTTTCAATGAGAGAAAAATTATGTGAAAACTATAGAGACTGGACAAAAAACAAAAAATTCTGAAAAAAATAAAATGCTGTCTCTTGAAATAGTTTTTAAAGATGTTTGAAAAAAAAGAGTATTGTATATACTTTGAATATATTTTGTATAAAAATAAGTAAAAAGGCTTTACTTTAACTTAAAAGTTGTTTATATAGGTTTCATTTGATAAAACAAAGAGTTTGTTTAAAAAGATTTTTGCTTTCTCAAAGCATTCACCTTTCTATGAAGAGTTAATCGACTTTTTACACTCTGCAGTAAGTAAAGATAAAGTTTTTTTCTAGTAAAGAGTTTTTATTAATTGTTTATTATTTGCCATTTATATTATTACTAAAAAAGAAAATTTTTTATGAATTGGAGTGTGAAAAAAAATTTTTTTTTTTTATAATTTTTATTAATATAAATAATAAAGTATAATTAATATTATTTATAATAATAATAATTATTATTATTATTGTTATATTGAAAAATCAGTTTGAACTATATATGTGTTCATATTTAATTCAGATATTTTTCAAAAACCATATTATATTTGTATTACTAAAAAACAATTAGTAAGTAATTAGAAATTATATTTAATTTAAAATTGTATTATCAATCAAATTTTCTTTTATAATAATAAGAAAACATGTATAGTTTGAATCTATTTAGATTTTGGTTTTATTATTTTAATAAAATCTAATTGAATAATTGAAAAGTAATAATCATTTGAAAAGTAAATTGATTTTTATTTTTTGAAATAATGCAATAAATAGTACTATTATAAAATTATATGTGAAGATTATATTAAAATAAACAATCGATTCAATAATTTTATTTATAACTAGTCAAAAGCATTGTTTTTTATAAAAAGCCAATTCATATGCTAATTTAGTAAATATTGAATTTGTAATTAACAAGTCAAGATATCATGATATAACAATAATTTGGATTAATACAAGGTAATTACTGAAAAGATACAAAAAGATGTTATAATGTGATGATTATTTGAAAGAATTAAGATGATTACTAAATGGTGTAAAAAAAGAAGTTATCATATAATGCAACAATTAACTGATATGGGACAGGATAATTATTGAAAATAGCATTGTAATCTCAAGTACATGTATTATCTAATAAATTCGTTTATTTATATTATTAAATTAGAAAAAATAATTTAAAATATTAATATTATTAATATGAAAACTTTGTCAAATAATCCACTTTAATTTTAGTATAATATAATCTTAATGATACGAATTACATGTGATTTGATGAAATCCTCGAATTTATGATAATTACTATTATGAAACATGCCTGATGTCAAGGTTTACGTTGTTATACAAAAAAATGACAGTTTTATTCGAAGGATAATCACACCGTTTCCATTCAATCATCGCTTACTCCACTTATTGTGCAAAAGCTGAGCAGCAAATATTTCTATATCTCTCACGGTATCACGCCATTGTGTCAAAGTATCAAGCGTTATCCTAAGCGTGTTCTCGGGTGGTATGTCCTCTGGTGTTATGTTGTTACACTTGTTGATGGCAATGGGATTGGTATCGTGGCTGTTTACATTCCTCGTGGAATTGTTGCCCTCCCCAACTCCCAGTGTACATTTGATATGATCCAACAGGGGATAATCATCGTGATGAATGCCATCATCAATTAACACCAGGCGAACAACTGTGTTAATGAAATCACGAAGTTGTGGCACCAGGCGCATTACGTTGCTAATTCGCTCCAAAGAGGTAACGACCGCGTCCGCATCGTCCACTCTGAGTGTAATCATAACTTCCTTTAAAAAGAATTCAAATTAGATAATGCAGTATACACTGCAACATTCTCCTAAACGCCAACCTTAAATCTCTCAGCCAAAGACTCAAAGTCCATGTGATCCACTCGAGCTAACTTCAGTTTATAATACAATTTATCCTTATGAATATTGCGACGCGTTTCATCAAGTTTCGATCCTTTCGTCTCGTCTTAATGGAAGTACAACCATTTTGTTACAAAGTCACGTCCGACCTCTTTAGTAAGTTGCATTCTTCCTTATGTAATATAAATCTTACCCTTGCATAGACTCCTGTTCAGTGGACGGGTGTTTTTCTTGCGAGAATGCAACTCTAATTTAACCCTTTCATTTTCCTCACGCACCAACTTGAGTTCTCGATTCTTGGATTCCAATTGATTATTTAAGTTTAGTTTAAGTTTCTCATTCTCATCACGCAATTTTGCTACCTCTTGTGGCACAGACCCAGACTGTTCGGTGTCATTGTGCGATTTTTCGAAACTACGTAACATATCCACTAGTTGCGCGTTTTTTTCTCGCAGCTTCTCTATTTCACTCGAGACGAAATTCAATTGTTCGTTTTCCTTGCGGAACCTTTCAAGTTCTTGTAAACTTGATTTAAGATGTTCATTTTCTTTACGAAAGTCTTGTAAGCTTGACCTGAGATTCTCATTTTCCTTACGAAATTCTTGTAAATTCAACTTGAGATGTTCATTCTCTTTGCTAATCTTTTTAGATTCTTGTAAACCAAGTCTGAGATATTCATTCTCCTTGCGTAATTTCTCAAAGTCACGTAAATTATATTTCAATGATTCATTGTCGTCGCGAGCCACGCCAAATCTTGGGAAATTGTAATTGAGCTGTCCAATTCCTTCATGTAACCGCACAGCAGTAGGACGCTTGTTTTCTTCGCGTGGCTCTTCGAATTCTTGAGCGATGTAACTGACTTGAACATTTTTCTCTTCGTGTCGCAGCCTGACTTCCGCATTCTCTTGTTCAGGCTTATTCGAGACACCAATAACAGACTAGACAAAGAGAAAAATCAATTATTCATTAATTACGAATAAGAAAGCGAGGAATACCGACAATTAGGGTTGAGTACGTGCATCCTCGATAGTTTCAAACACAATATCCGGTGAACTCTTTTTCCCGTAATTTTGCAATAGTTTTCTTATATTTGCGTAATCGATCTGTTCGTCATTTTGATCTACCACAGCGTCGACCAAACAAGTGGTATCGCCTTTGGAGACTATTTTTCAATGTAATCATAAGCTCGTTATTAAAATCTGCAAGTAATGAATAAGTCTTATCAAAAAAAGAAAGGAAGGAATAGGTTATATGCATAAAGGTATAGTTGACATTGCACAACCTATCAGAGAGGGACCCTCCGTATTGGTAGAGACACTCAATAAAGACAATTCGCCCTGTTCAAGTTGTGTCGTTTGCTCATATTCTGGTGTCTTTGCAGGGTGCGCGAAACTTGTTATCTCGACGCCGATGTCACGATAGTCAATAGTTTCCCTGGTGACAACAGCCTTAGCTATAATTGACGGAATTATATCAGAGATGTTGCTATCTTCAATGAAGGATTGAACTGACGTTGCTCTATCCGAGAGACTATCTTCAGCCATTCTATTGACGTTATTGTTATTGCCCAATAGTAGATGTCGCGTTGAACGAAAGGAATAGGACGCGTTACTACCAAACAACAGACTATCATGTGTTGAAACTTCACGTGATTAATTTAAGAGTTATGTGATGTGAAACAGTTTTTTTTTACTTTTTGATTGCAATAATGGTGAAAGTTAACCAAAAAACCATAGCTCAACCATTAGTAGCGTTTTCGATGGCAGTAATAGTTGGATTATATGCTATACATGCTATTAATGATTCGAGAAGGGAGTCGCGCATTCGACAACAAACACGGCCTAATTCCACCGCGGAGAGATCAGAAGAAGTCAAAGAAAGAGCATAGAATCGTGTTCTTTTGTTAGAGGATTTATTTGCTTCTTTTTTTTACCAAGTTTCGTTTAGATTACTTTGAGGGAAACGGATTTTCTTTTTACACAGTCATCTCCAATTCAACTTTTATATTATTTAGTAGCTCGCGACCATCTTCCCAATAAATAACGCGTGGTTTAATATTCCACGATACGTCCTTATATTTACTGTCAGGCGAAGAATGCGATATATCTTTAAGAAATTTTTCGAGTCTGTACCCTTTCCGAGCGAAGAGTATGTCATCACTTGGATAATTTATAGTCCCATAAAAGATAGTTAGTCAAAGAAAAGGAAAGTCGAATACACCACCAAATAGCATACCTTGACATTTTGGTGGCAGGACAAAAATCGTTGATGGAATCTCCAACATAAATAATTCGATCGTACCCGGAACCAGAAGAAATGTAATCCACCAGTTCTTTACCTTTACAAATGTTTTCCGCACAGGGATTCTTGCATCCATGCGATTCATCTTTCGGGATTAGCCTTCGAATGTGGAGTCTCCCATTTTCATCCCACGAAGCAGGGTTGCTTATGACACAAGAGACAAGCTCACAAACACCATATGCCTGTTGAAAGCATAAGTTGGACACAATAATCGAAAATTATATACGGGTGTAAAATTACCTTTAATATTTCTTCTATGTACACTACATTTGCATCAGAAAGAATTACAATCTCTCCATCAACGCCCTTGATGACTTTGAGTACCTCCACCATGTCTGAACTCTATAAATCATTCCAATTTGAAATGTGAAGCAACATTTTAATGCATCTTTGCTTTATAAAAAAGACATACAAATGGTATTCTTGCTAATGCTTGCAAAATTTGCTGTCGAGTTGTACCACGCTTATGTAATTCTCCAACCAAATGATCCCTGGTATTTAGGATATTTATGAGGTGATTAGATAAAAAAAGCATTTGCTACCTTAATGAATAAGTTCATACATCAAATCAGTCCATTGATATTTTTTTCTTAATTCATCAATTTGGGCTACGAGCTCAGGAGAGTTTTGTTCAATGACCCATGTGTCGGAATTTTGATCGACCATCGACCTTTTTTTTTTTTTTTTGGTTGAAGAAATTTGTCAAGGTGCTTGTCTCGAACGCAAACTCACATTCCTTCCACCTCTTACCAATCGAAATCGAATACGGCTAGAAGTTTCATGTATAATACCACCAATTACGCGAACTCCAGTAAGTCAAACAATCAATTCTACAAAAAGGATCGACACATTAAAACTAACTAGGATGCGCACAAAATCCATATTTAGCAATTTGATCACCGGTTTATCGCCTAAGAATCTCTTATATCTTTTACTTTCCTTCAACATGTCAAAAGACGTCAGTATTCACACTGCCGCCTATGAAGGTCAATTTCATGTCGTCCAGCAGATGGTGAAGTCTGAACCTAAAGCTGTGTACACAAAGGACGAGGTTTTATGATCATTCACATTGAACTTTAAATTACGCGTTTTTTCTTCTTTGATATTATTGATAATTCCTCCGGTTACAAAGGACGAAAGAACTGCGTTGCATTGGGCCGGTAAGTTCTCCTTTTAATTCACGTCATCAAAAACACAATCGTTCAACACATATTCAATTATTACCATGAAAATAGTTTCCGGTGGTCATTTGGACATTGTCGAATTTTTATTGAATCATGGTGCCGACGCGAACGCGAAGGATGAATCAGATTGGACACCTTTACATATTGCTGGTAACTATTGGTAAAGTGATGATCATATCCTTTGAACTGGTTTCTAATTAAATCCCTCTGATAGCATCAACGGGGAATTTTGAGATCACGGAAAAGCTTTTGCAAGCCGGTGTGGAAACCAATGTTCAGAATGATAACGGCCTTACACCTTTGTAAGACTACGATCTTAATTTCTTTGACCCTGCATAGTTGCCTATCGAAACCTTAATTCACAAATATCTTTCTTAAGGCACTACGCAGCTTCTAGGAATAAAATTGAGGTGAGATTCATATCAAGGTTTCTTGACCTCGCGAGGTTGCCGATTTATTATAAGTCAATGTATTTTTTTTTTCTTAGATCGGAAAATTATTATTAGAGAGAGAAGCAAATATTCATAATATAGATAATAATATGCAATCGCCTCTGTAAGTACTAAGTCGTTTGGAAAGTGGGATTATTAAATAATTTGATTTTTGGACTGACCACACGTTTATTTAGTCATCGATGCGCGGTTCACGGTTACACCGTCTTCGCAAAGTTATTGTTAGAAAAGGGTATCAATCCTAATGGGAAGGACAGGGTTAAAAATACTCCGTTGTGAGTGGTTAAACGTGGTGGTCGTCTTGATTTTTTGTTTTTTATTATCTCGATTGAAATGAAATGTGTGTTGTGTTGAATTAGGCATTTGGCATGCGAGGAAGGACATGGTGACTGTGCATTGGTAATAATCGAGTACGGGGGGGATGTGACCGTTGAAAATAATGAAAAGAAAACTCCTCTGGATGTGTGCAGCAAACAGCTGAGAAATTTTATTTTGCAACAAACCTCAACCGGATAAATGAGCTGTGATGGAGGCACGTAAAATGGTTTTTTGTTTTTTTTTCTTTCAAGAATATAATGTCTAACATTTTGCTTGTTAGTTCAATATATCTATTTATAGTATTTATTAAGAGAAAATGCGACAAGGTTGCAGTCATGGAACTGAATATTGTAAGCACGTCATTTCTGAAAATTATCGGGAAGCCTCTTTAAAACATGAATTTATTACACTACTCGATGGATATATAACAAGACAAGCACAATAGACTAACTGGTTTTGTTTGATATTACAGTTAATACGTTTACGCCAACGATCTTGGGGTGGTACCATTAGACTATTAAATGTAAAAAAAAAAGGATTTTTTGAAAGAACTGCAAATTTTTTGGCTTATATGTTCTAAAAACATATAGCGAAGAATTGCATTTTAAAAAATGGTATCCGACATTGATAAAATGAACCCTCCTCGAAAAACAAAACAACGTAGGTTTTTTCTTCATCCACTTACACGATATGCCGTTCTCGCCTTCACTTGGGCGAATATCCACCTATAAAATTAAAGAATCGATATTCAGTTGGAAATTCGTTCAAACACTTTGTCTAAGGATTCGTTCGAGTGTGATTTTCAACCTATTTGTTCGACCATAACATCAATTGCATCGCCGTCTTCCATTTCCAGCTAAAAATATTATGTTACTTTAGTTCTCGGTTTGGTGACAACAGTTTTGAGTAACACTTGAACCGGCAAAGGTCGAACTTTACCTCATTAGGTGTGTTGTGAGGTTGAACACGTTCGCCATCGTAAAGAAATCGGACCGAGTTTATGGATTTTCCCTGTCTTTCGCAGTAGGCATCCATAAGCTTCTTTAGTTGGGTTGTCCTTTTGATTTTGAAAAACACTTCATTATGATCCTACAAGAAGAGAAGTTCATAAGATAGCAATAACGCGTCGTTCGAATTGAGAAGCTTTTAGTTCAAGTCGGTACATGCGATAACTAACTTAAAAGTTATTCCTTATAAATTTTCTTTACGCGCACTTGTTACGACCGATTTTTGCCGCAAAGTTGAACGCGCCTGTACAAAACGACTTACATTTCCGACCACCTTGAGATTGATGTGTTCACTATCTGACTTCTTGTTGTCGTCTCCGGCAGGTGCTGCATTTTGTTCTGACATTGTGACCTTCACTATACTTTATTGCTAACTTTTCTGGTTGCTAAAAGTTTTTCGGAACATACTCCCGACCCTATGTAAAATGTATTAATTATGGATCATGTGAGCATATAGGCACGAGCGGTCACATGTTACTGCGTCCACGGGTCCGGTAATAAAGATCGACGAGGACTTCGAGACATTTTGCAATTCGAGCACTATCAAAAGTTTACTATATTTATAAGCCTATTGAAAGGCATCCCACAGGTCACCCTGTATAAACGTCACGAACAATTCATGTCGTTTAAATTGGACTCTCGATAGTCATGCCCTCCTCTTCTCTGTCATCTATATCGCGTTCTTCCTATCCGAAACTGTATTTTAAAGCTAGCAAAAAACTTCTCCAACCTCAGTTCCTTCTACTTATTTTCGCCGTTAGTATTGGTTTATTCGTAACCTGCGTTGTTCTAGTTGACTTTCAAGACGACAACGAAGACATTGCTGAAGAGGAGGAAGGAGAAGAGTAAAGAAAATAAAAATGCCCACAACTTCCCACCTTCTGAAGGTCGCGAATTTAATTGAACCAACCATCATCACAATGAAACTTGATAAAGGTGACTCTTCGTCGAGAGAAATCTGGAAGAGTGCCATTAACACACTGCTCACTGCCCTTGGTATTGTATATAGCCTCCTTCAATTTTGCAATCAGGTTTGCTTGGAAAAACTGTTGCCTTCTCACCACATTAACAACTCTATCAATAGAAAATATTTTGTTGGATGACAGTGGCTTGCCGATTAAACAAGGAGGCGCGGACGTGGAGGGTTATTACGTAAAAGGGCTGACATCCTGTATGTAAGATTCAAAGTACACTAAATCTTCCAAATACCCTTTACCATCATAGTAACTTGGTACTTGCTGAACGCTATTTGGATTACAGTTGACACAATGATGGAGGAATCCGAGATTTCTTTTGGTAGTCTGTCCCCCCTTAAACGAAAGCGTGAAGATAATAACCCGCGTAAAAACAAATCCCAAAAATTATTATCCTCGAAATTGGCCAGAAATCTTTCCTTGTCTGAAGACGAATCAAACGACGAGGGTACTCCTTTAAAAATCGATGCCCTGATGGACATTTGCGGTGGGAATCCCACTTCATCTGGTTCGTCGCGCCCATTTCATCGTAATATCAGGCGATGTTCCCGTCAGTCGTTTGGTGGAAGATATGTTAGACCAAACACCTTTCCAAACACCAACGTCAATAGTCTTGACATGGACATTGCCCCCGACCATCATACGGCTGACGGAGACAACATCAATGTTCAAGAACCCGAAAGGATTCAAATGTTGCGTCGCATAATGTCCGACCCTGGCGGTTCATATCTTAACTGGAATGTTGCTATGTCAGATTGGATCGAGTTACAAGCACAAAAGAAAAACGTGAGATTACATGAATTTCAGGTTCAATTTCAGGAACGAAGTCGTGACATGGAATCGTCTCTTTCGATTCTTCACAATTCCACGCCTCAGGTTTATGACGAAATTCGAGATTTGGTTGACAGATTCTTGCTAAACGCTAATTGGCTAAGATGCGATTATAACAAACCTTTCACTGTAAGTCAACAATCACAAAGTTTACTGTTGTGCTTTTTTTAATGCTGAACGCGTGTCTCTTTACAGCAAATTTTTCCTCAATGGCATTCTTTGGGGAAGAAGCTGGAAAACTTTGTGCAATTCGTGGCAATTGTTGAAGATATGAAAGCAATAGTTAATCATGAATATCCGTTTGGTGACTCCGGCTTTGATATGAAAAAGATTCGTGAAACCTTGGAATTCAGAAAATCTTTATACGGAGAAATTTTGCAACAGAATGGGTTGGCTTGGAAAGCTTTGGGATTTCCCGTTAATGACACATGGATCTACGAGACAAAGCAATGGTTGTTTGGTTTATCCTTTCATTGTTTGTCATCCCTGAATAGCGAATTAAATAAATATGAACATTTTGATGTCGACGACACACGCACCACAAAGGTTTTTTTTTTTTTCATCATACGTTTTGTTACCTTTCATTCTCTCGAACGTTGACTCTTATAACAAACACCTTTCTTCGTGTTTCAGTTCATGGAGAACATTATGAACTGCATTAAAGCTACTAACATTGCTGTTGAGTTGATCGGAACCTCGAGCAACAAACTTATTTTACCCAGTTTCATCCTCGCAACTGCTTACACCGAGTGGGGACTATCGCAGATCGATAGGATGGAAAACAAAGTTCGATGCGTTGAAGTTAGAATGATACACATTTGCGATAACATCGATAAGATATTACATTATCTGCACACTATACAAGATATGAGTGAACAGGATGTCAATTTTGCGAGGGAAAATGAATGTGATGATGCTCCAGAAAACCAACAGATTCTTAAAGCCTTGGAACATTTTTCTACGGCATTGGTAGAAGTTGGTTTGAGATTATGCGAACACGTCACCAAGCTCAAAGTTAATGTTGCAACGGGTCCTTCCAACTTTGCGTATATGTATTCGGAATTTGTCGTCAGATTTATCAATCGGGTAAGGTCGGCGTTGAAGAAAACGCGTATAATACTTATGTAAAATGCGATTATCTTATTGATTCAATTTATCATTCTCTTCCTCAAACAGGCACTCGAATATACCGACTTCGAAGAAGCGGAAGTTAGGATGTGTCCCCTACTTGCAAGCTTGAAAAATATGGAAAATGCGGCAAAATTTGGATAATTATGTAGTCCTTTAAAGACATTCTAACCATCATGATAACTTAACCATTTGCAGAACAAATGCCAGATGATTGGACTTTTATGTTTAATAATATTTGCATGGATCGAAGTTTTGGTTTTTTGAAGTCATTTTTACAATAAAGAATAATCCTTAATAATGTTAAAAAAAAAAATGCAAAGATTTGATTTTAGAGACAATTCAATGTTTTATCAGTAGCAATAAGCAAAAATATTTAAGATATTAAATTTTACTCAAACTTTTAGTTTCATATCATAAATCTGTATATAAATAATTTAGATTTAAATTAATTAAAAAATATCTTATTACGTTAAATAAGATGACGGAATATTCTTTATTATGCATTTTAATTTAATGCTGCAGTATGTTAAATATAAATACAGTATATAGATTTTTGAATTTTAATCTGTTGTCAAAATATTTATTAATTTAACAAACAAATTAAATATAGAACATTCTTAAAAGTTTGATTATTACAATTATTCATTTAATTTCAAAATATTGGCTGATAATATAATAATTATTATATAATACATGATTTAAAATAAATCTGTAAACTTGATAAAAGTATCAACGAAGCCTTAATTTTATTTTATAATTTTATTTGAAAATCATGTCAATTTATTGAAATCAAGTAAAATAAAAACAATAATCTTACTTCAACTAACAATCCAAAACTGAAATTTAAACTTCAAGATTCATTCAAACCTTTTACATTTAACATATTACAAGACAATTTTTATTGCTCTATTATTTATAATTATTAATACTTTTATTTAATATAATTATAATTTCTCTTACTGTATTATAATCACTTGTTACTGTATAATACATCAGAAAAATTTTTTGCAAGAAAACTCTGAAAATCTCTATTTTTAAAATAATTTTCACAAATTCCAAAGTAATATTTCAAAGATTTTTAAAAAACTTTGAAAAATTTATATAACAAAATAATTCAAAGATCTTTGAAGTAATATAAAATAAAATATTGACTTTCAATGTTTTATAAAAATTGAATTAATTTATTTTTTAAGTATTTAATATAAAAAATATGTAAAACAAAATTTTATTTTAAATTATTTAGATCAAAAATCTTATAGATTTTTTTGAAAATTAGTAATTTTTAAAAAATTCTGAATTTTTATAATACTTCAAAAGTTTTTTGATTTAAGTAAATTAAAGTAAAATATTGTTCTATACACTTTTTATTAAGTACTCAAATATAAATTAATTTATTTTTGTGTAAATTTTTAAATTATTTCAAACATTTTTGAAATCTTATTCTTTAATTATATATTATCTATTGATAGTATTTAATTTTTTATTTATTTTTTTTTTTTTTATCGCGAACAAGCATTGAATGTGAGACTTTATTTAAATAAGAGTATTTATTGTCATTACATTAACAATCTTTACATAGTAAATTAATTGTAGCCTATCGCAACAAAACTATTGGAACCAGGTACCAC